ATAAATAAAAATAGTAAATATATCTTTTTACAAGAGTATTTTGTATGTAGATTATATATAAATTGATTATAAATATATAGATTCTTTCTTATAATTATTTTATAAATTATTTATAAATTATTTTATGAGATTATTTTTAATAATATTTTTCGCATAAAAATACTTCAAAGCTTCAGTAACCAACCACACATGGGGGCGTTGCGTGTAATTTATCTCGCGAGACAGAAAAAATAAAATTAATTAAAATTTTTTATTTATGCGCGGTCAAGTGCACGTTCCGAAGTACAATTCCCTCGATTTGTTTTCTTTGGAATGTGCGATAAACGGCGAGAGATGAGATTTAACGGTGTCATCGCTGTGATTCGGTGAACGCGAAAACACGATAATATTAATCCAAAAAAGACAAACATCATCGCTAACACGATGATAACGAAGCGCCAAATGTAAATGCACGATTGAAACAATAATAAAGCTTGTGAGCTTAAATTTTTTGCTAGACATTTCACAGACATGATTTCTCTTTATCATCATCTCCGGCACACGATGCAAACACCCGATTGCCTAAGATTTGCTACTTGACCGTGAAATTTTTAAATCGACGAAAAAACGAAATAGAAACGAGACGAAAGAATTTTACCAATATCTTGCACATGTATTATATACTATTATTTTGTTGGAAACTACTGTGTATATTTATTTATTGCACAACATCCTGCACTGGCTCTATATATTGCCGTTATTTTAAATCAACTTATATATTATTTTTATATATTACGTATATAGTATTTATATTATATTTATATATTATTTTTCTTCTTTCGTTGTTATATTATTTATATTCTTTGACGCGATCAAAGTTTTCTCGATCGAATCTCGTAACTTCAAGAGAAATTGCACGCGCGAAGATAATTAAATAAAACGACGATGCGTGACAAAGAGTATAGTCGTAAATATATAAAAATATGTTCCCCTTAATATTCTCAGCGAATAAAGTCATTCATCATCTCCGCGCAATCGTGCGCATATTGTGTTCTGCGTTGTTGAAAATATACGCCGCTATTAAGGTTTTTTTTTTTTTCTAAAGCGAGAGAGAGGTCACGCGACTTTTCGATAGCGACTTTATCGTCGTCGCTTTCTTTATTGTCTATTTTACGCTCTGAGTCATTAGAATTTAAATTTCTTAAGTCATCAAAACTCAACAAACGGGGGGAACTCTTTTTCTCCATGTTTATCTCCGAAAATTGTCAACAAACTCTATCTCGTAAACGTTGCCCGAGATTCGAAACGTCGCTCGATTTGCGATATCAGTACTTTGAGAAAAGTTTGCGGCAATATATATATATATATAT